ATACTGACAACCTCATACTGAGTGGCACTGGGCCACTGTAGGTCTAGAGGGGAACTGGGGTGCTGACAGGGGCCCCTTACCCTGGGTAAGTAGTAGTGGGGGTTCGGTGTCATTCTCCAGCTTTAGGACTCAACTACTTCACTACCAAATACCTTGTAATGTCCAAATAAAGCAAATAGGCCACAGATGTTTACGTGGCTCTAACACATCCAAGAGGGAGAGCTTAATGATGAAAGCTCTGAAGTGAATACTACCAGGGTATTGTGAATCTTCTCTTGGTAACTGTTATTAGCAAAATGGAGAACAAAATAACAAAAACAAACAAATAAATCAATGTTCCCAGCATCCTGACAATCAGCTTTTCTGGGGAAGGCCTGTGTCTGCTGCTAGTCTGGTCATTCCACAGTGCTCAGTTCAGTGGTCTACCCACCAGACATTCAGAATAAATAGCTGGGCAGCTGAAAAATCTTAACATGAAGTATTGTTTTGGTTGGGGGGAGGGTAGGGGCACAGAAGAACGTTTAACAGGTCCTTTGGTGAGAAACCTGTCTCTGCTTTGTGGAGAAAAGGCTGAAGACACAATAAGACTCCTCAAGTTAAGGCTTATGTTATTTGTTATTAAAGTGGTGAGGTCTTAAGATGTGCTTTTTAACAGTCTTTAGTTTGGCTGTAATTTAAGATGACTTTTACAAATTAGATCCTAATCCTTGCAGACACAGATGGCTGTTACAGAATAGCCTTGTGAAAACACTAGTCATTTGATTTGAAAAAGCATTCAGAGGATGAAGGACCATTAACTCTCACCCCACCCCTGGCTCGAGGAGGTCTAATGAGTCCTGGGTGGGCTTTCTGAGTTTAGGTTTGGGTCTGGAATCTGGGTGGGTCTAGGGCATCTGTTCTTACTTGGAACAACCTCTCTAGTTCACTCTAGAATCAGATTTAGGATCAGACCTGAGGTCAATAACATTCAACAACAGTAACTGAATGTTTATGGGTGAGACACCATCCTGGGTCAGGGGGAACAGCCACGAACATGGTATGGACAGGTTCTGTAAATAATTATACAACAATAGGGCAAGTGCTACGAGAGAGGAATGTACAAACTGCAATGGATACATAGGTGAAGACCTTGGGAGATGCAGAGGGATTTCCAGAGAGGATGAGATTTGAGCTGTACATTAAAAGATGGGTTCCAACAGGTCAGGAAAAGCAGGAAGAATGGATATTCAAGGAAGAGAGAACAGAATATAAAAAAGCAGAGGCATGAGAGTCTCTTGTGTTTTTAGTGAATAGTGAGCAATCTCCTATCACCTGGTAATGGAAATAAGTAACAAGAGGCAGGATTTAAGATAAAAAATGTAGGTATGAACCAGATTGTCAAGTTTTTGAAAACATTCTAAGGTGTCTTTACTTATCCTAGGGCAGTAGGGAGCAACTAAAGTTTTTAAACAAGAATGAGGATGATCAGAGTGAGATTTTGGAAAAACCAGTATGTAGCAGATAATCTCAGGTTGACCAAAGATTAAAAAATGAACGTGTGATGGATACTGGGAAGCTCGTGATTTCTCCTACAGGAACAAAAACTTTGGTTAGACTTTTTCTCTGGGCAACTGGGCCAAACTTAATCTAAAATGCCCTTGGGATGGGGATGGAGATAGAAATGGGGTCAGGTGTGAAAGGGACATTGGGAGATGAGACTGTTAACCAGACTGCATAGTGTTCTTTAGCAGTGTAAAACAAAGCATGCATAATTGAGATCTAAATCAAGAGTAAATTTTCTCTAAGACTAAGTGACTGATCCTCCATTTAGGGCTAATCCATACTGACACTTTATATAGTCTGCACTGAAGAGGCTGAATTCTTGGCCAGTAAAGTTCAAGGCAAGCAGGCCCAAGAAGCTTCTTCTTCCCAAGGACCCTCTGTCTTTCACTTCAGTTCCCCTACTTGCAACAGTCCACATTTTTAACCTGTCATTAACACTGGTCATAAAACCCAGATCCTCTTAAGAGATTCCTCCTCCTACCCCACCCCCAAGAGTAGGTTTAAAAATTAATTTTTAAGAAAAGAAAGTTTAATTTCAAAAGCCAGGAAGGTCCTTAGACTCCATCTCTTCTAGTTCTTCCATTTTACAGATGAGGCCCAGAAGGGGAGTGAAAGTAACCAAGGATTGTAGTAACAACGTATGGTGACTGATGTCAACTAGACTTACTGTGGTGTTCATTTGCAAATACACAAATGTCAAATCCTTACGTTGCACACCTGACACTAACAAATAAAAAGTCATACGTCAATTGTACCTCGACTGAAAAACAAAACAAAACAAGGGTTAGGAAGGACTAATTTAGCTTGTAAGTTTTATAAATTCTTCACGGTGAGACGTTCATCATAGAACACAGGCTGATCTTGAACCCCTTAATAGTGGCTCTTCTCTAAGCTTCACACATTTAGAGTTCAACTACAGTGATAGAATTTAAGGTACTGGGATGTGTGGTTCACACAGCATGTGCACCTGTGTTCCCTGTGCACATTTGTACATTGTATAGCACATGAACAAAGAGGAAGATTTTGGAGCAGTAGGTGAGCTAGTGAGAGACAGGCCAACGCTAGCACCTGGGGTCCACTCTAGTCCCCTGGATTTAGACACAAGTGATAGTAGGATCCTCATCCTGCCTAGTGTTGTGGCTGAGTGGGGGAGGTAAACTCGTCACTGGTTTCTGTCTCTATCCTGCAAATCTCACAGCCAATGTGAAGGACTGAGATGAATGTTAACTAAATTCTTGTTTTTTTTGTGTGTTAAGGAAAGTCCAGGTTACTAAACTTTGTACTACTCAGTCATAATAACATCACAGAATATTAAGATTTACTATGTATTTTAATGGTAAGCTAGTCCAAGCCCCATCCCATATAAAGTAGGAACATCAAGAATGAGTCCTTCTCCAATATATATCCATTATTGCTGAAAAGGGATCATTCTCTAGTGTTAGAATATCTCCAATGATAGAAAAATCAAAAAAAAGAAAGAAAGAAAAATCACTACCTTACAACACAAGACATTCCTCTCTTAGAAAATATTATACTTTTTTACAGGATACTTTCTTATCTCCTGTAACTTTCAACTGACTGGTCCCACTCCTGTCACTGGAGCCTTGAAGTCAGATCCCATTTTTCATGGCAGGCCTTCAGTTAGTGAAGACAACAATCACATCTCCCGTGGCCTTTCCTTCTCTAGAGGAAATGTTCCTTTAATGATACAATTTCCAGTTCCCTCACCTTCCTGTCAGCCCTGCTCTAAACATGCTTCTGTTTCTTCACACTTCAGCATGGAGTCTAAGGACTCTTTCAGGGGTAGTTTATTTTAGTAGAGTGCTGAATAGGACCATCAAGTTATCCTCTTGCTGGACTTTTAAGATTGTAACTCTAAAAATATAGCTAGCTTTTTCTTGGCACATAAAACACATTATTAATGTATACAAGGTCTGTCTGGAAAAAGTCAAGCCATCGTTAATACAATGAGAACTGTTTGCACGACATCGATAGAACCTGGCAGCCAAGGAGAATGTACTGGAATGCACATGCGTGAACAATGATGACTTCACTGTACTAGTGAGTGGGGGCAGTAGATGCTGTTAAGTAAGCATGTGTACTGTGTGGCCGTCACATTCAAAATGATTCAATGAATCTGCATCAAATTTTGCGTTCAGCTTCAACATTCCTCCCCAGAAACTATTTGGATGATTCAGACAGCTTTTGGGGATGATGTAATGAATGATTGGCAGCTTCATCATGACAATGCACCCACTCACGCATTACATCTCGTGCAGAGTTTTTTGCAAAACATTGAATCACCCAGGTGACTCAGCTCCCACTACAGCCCAGATTTGGTGCCCTGAGACTTCTGGCTTTTCCCAAACTAAAATCACCTTTTAAAGGGAAAAGATTTCAGAGTGTCGGTGAAATTCAGGAAAATACGATGGGCAGCTGATGGTGGGTGACTGGGAGAACTGTGTGAGGTCCCAAGGTGCCTACTTTGAAGGGGACAGAGTTGTCCTTGTCCTATGTACAATGTTTCTTTTATCTTACATCTTCTTCAATAAATGTCTCTATTTTTCATATTAAATGGCTGGATACCTTCTGGACAGACCTTGTATTCAGCTTAAGTAAACCATAATCTCCATAAAGCATGGTCTTTCCATTCCAAACTTGAGCAATTGATTTTCTAAACCCAACATAGTAATCTATCTCTCTATAGGTCTATAATATTTCTCTAGGCTCATTTTTGTCTATTGTTTTAGTATTTTAGTATTTTCTTCAACCTTACTTTCCATGATCCAAAAATCTGACACTGTCTTCATTTAAGTTGCTAATAAGCACAGTTGAATAATAAAGATTAAATATAAAACCTCTTGGTCTCCTCTAAGGAGAGGGCAGTCTCTTAGTCAACACTTTCTGGACACCACCATTTAATCAGCAATGAACCCACCTGTTTGTTTATCTCTCTACTTTGCCTCAGAATACTATGTGAGACTATTAAATCTCTTACTGAAATGCAGATTTGAAGTGAATATAGGTCGTGATTCCTGCCTTCCCATGCTAATAACAAAATACTCTTGGTTTAACATGACTTGTTCTTAGTAAACCTACAATCATTGACCTTGATCTAACTGTTAAGGTGTTTAAACACACAATTTTCAGATCTATTCTGAGGTATACAGAGATGATACCTTGGGAAAACCTGTATGATGGTGGAACAGAGGAAATAGCTGGGAAAAAAGAAAGACCTAGTACTTAAATGCTAGCATGGGCTACTGGGCATATATCTGCTGGCCTGGAGAGCATACTTTCCCCAGAGAAAGATGGTGCGCAGGACAATGAAGAACTGATGGGTGTGTGGTCTTGTAGCAGGCTGTACCATGGGACTTTCCTTAGACGGCTTTGTCTAGCCCTAATCATGGGATACCTCCCACCTGGACACACTTCCCAAGACAGGCACAGGAACTTACGTCTCTCCGAGGAAAGGTGCTCAGTAACTTGAATTCATCCCATGGAAATCCTTTGGAAGCTACAAAATCAAAGACAATCTGGAGCTTATTGCTGGCCAGGAAACGCCGCTCCAGGAACTCTCCACTGGGGGTCCGGATCCGCAATTTGCTAACAGGCTCAGCATCTTCTTCTTTTGGCTCTGGAGGCAGGGCTTGCTCTAAGGAGAGCCGAATGGCCTGAGGAGAGCAAAAACCAAGTGTTAAACTATGTGATCAAAGTAACTGCGGGGAGAGGAGGACAGAGAGACTAGAAAAAAGCTGCTGCTTTCTTGAAACTCATTAAAAAGTTGTTGTCCATTTATTAACCAAGCCTAAAGTCTGAACTATAGAAATGTGTTTTTCATTTACTGAATATTATACAAGCAATTTTCACCCCTTTTCATCCCATGGCACACATAAACTACTAAAATTCTGCGGGACACCAAAAAAGTATTTTTTGCCAATCTGACAACAAGTATGTATAATTTTGATTGATTTAAAAAACAGTAATTACCTACCCTTTTTGCTCCAAAGTGATTTTAAAAAAATCAGGTGCAATCAGACACAATCTTATTATGTAATGTGATCAGTAAGACGCAACTCATACAACCTATGCATTTATGGTTCAAGTTAGGGTGTTCCCACCGAACAGGTATCATTGTGTGTTGCCTGTTGTCATTTTTTTATGTGACAATCTAAGGGAAAAGAGGACAGTGTCCCTGACTAAATAGTCAGGTGTTGCATGTTTTAAAACTTCTTGCAGCACACCAGTTGAAAATTGCTGTGTTAGGCCCAAGTGACAATTAAAATGAATCTCACCTTGATGACACACATATTAAGTTGACTGGTAACTCCATAGGAAAAACAGGTAATTTATTTTTTAAACTGACAGACTTGGGTATTTGTGATTGAGGAAAGAGCTATCAAATACCCAGTTGCTTCATTTTTAGGATACAAAATAAGAGGATACAAAATTTTAGGTACAAAATACTATAAGAGGCATTTATAAACCACACACATATACCAACTATTTATATTTGAAAAACATACATTTCCCAAATAGAAATAATTTAAGAGTTTGTAGATACTGGATAATATACTAAAATGGAATACAAAGATTTTGTTTGGGGTGATAAAAAATTTTAGAAACAGATATGGTGACAGTATTTTCTGAATATGTGCATATGTATAAAGAATAATTATTTATTTAAAAATTCATTAATGGCAAGAATAGGTGTATGCCCCAAGCTGCTTAGAAGCTAATTCAACTACCAGTCAGGACCAACATTCTTAGAAAAAAAGCAGGAATCTGGCTATTAGCAAAAAACCTTTATCAGATGTCACTGTTGGATGTTTCATAATATCAAATGGCATTTAATGTGGAAGAATAATATGAACTGAGGATGGGATGAGAAATATTTTATACAGTTGAATTAAGTTTCCATTAGCAGAATATGATTGAATTTTTCTTTTCTTTTTATTGAATTTACTGGGGTGACACTAGTTAACAAAATTATACAGGTTACAGGTGCACACTTCTACAATACATCATCTGTTCACTATATTGTTTGTTCACCAGCCCAAGTCAAGTCTCCATCCATTACCATTTACCCGCCCGACTCCCTCCATCCCTCTCTCTCCTGGGCAATCAGCACACTGTTGTCTCTGTCCATGAGTTTCCTTCTCTCTCTTTCTTTTTTTGCTCAATCCCTCCAGCAACCCCCTCATGCAGCTCCCCATCCCTGTGCCCCTTGACAGCTCTCAGCCTGCTCTCAATTATAAATAATATAATACTTGTCTTTCTCTGACTGGTTTATTTCACTTAACATGATGCTCTCCAGGCCCATCCATGCTGTTGCAAAGGATAAGAGATCCTTCCTTTTTTATGGCTGAGTAGCATTTCATCGTATAAATGTGCCATAGCCTTTTTATCTGCTCATCTCCTGGTAGACACTTAGGCTGCTTCCAAAGCCTTTTTATATTTTTGACTTCTGACTTATGTAAATTGTTATCTGTTTAAAAATGTGTTTAAAATACCAACAGAAAAAACAAAGTTTGCTAACACACTAGTATAGATAAGAAATTAATTTGTGTCATTCAGGAGAATTTTATTCTAATACTAAAGTGTATGTTCAAAAAAACCTTAAGAATTTCTGCAGTGTGTAAAGAAAGCTATATTCCTCCTGGCGTCACTGGATAATATAATATCACCTATCTTATAGGGGAAAATATGGGAATTATATATACAATATAAAGTCCCCAATGTGCTGTCTGATATACAAGAAGCTTCAGTTAATGGTTGTTTGGGATTGTGCTAGTGAAATAGTACCATACTCTCATTTTTTATGTGGGGAAGCTGATACTCAGAAATGGAGACATAAGAAATATAGTTAAAAAATTACAGGAAGTTAAACTATTTATTTTTGATTTTTTGGACAGCATGAGTAGCAGTTCATTTAATATTGGTGTCCTGGGTCAGCAATGAGTATCAGCTGGATATTTCCAAGTATTAAACCATTTCAGTAATGCTATCAGATATTAAAAAGCCAAAGAATACATGATGCTGTGTATATCATAATTAAATTCCACTGTATTATGTCTTTATAGCATGCCTTATGCTGTACCGTAGTTATTTGTTAAAGTCTGGGTTTCCCACTAGCCTGCAGGCTACATTAAGGGGTAGAAATGTGTCTTACTTCTTATTCCAAGTGCAGTGCTTGACATGAAATAGACATTTAATACATAATTGATAAGGGATAGAATAAACTAAGATGTTAACTGAAATAATGCATGTGAAAGTGCTTAGTATGGCTGTAAACACACAGAAGGTACGCAACGAAAGCTAAAATAATCTGAATCTCATGGGCTCTCCTTCTAGTAACCAAGAACTGATCATCCTGAGTTTCCTTTCTTTAAGGTTTAATTCACTCCAGCACCAATTAAGGTTTAATTAATCTGTTCAGATTAATTTTCTACATATGTGTCCCTCAGAGGCTAACTGTGAGTTGCTTGTAGGGGTTAACTACCTCTGTGGATTAGAGTTATATACATTTGCTAAACTGTTAAATGGGATCATTTGACTATTTCTAATACTGGTGGTCCTTTAAAACCATATTTTGAGATTAAAAAACATTATTACTGATTATAAAAGTGATAAAATTCATTGAAAAAGATTAAATAAGAACATTAAAATTAATTTCTAGATTCACTATTAAGAGATAGCCACTGCCATTATTTGAATGTTTATACTCATTAATTTTTTAAACCATTTTAAGTGTATAATTTAGTGGTGTTGAGTACACTCACAGTGTTGTGTTACCATCACCACTATTTCTAAACCTTTTTTATCACTCCAGATACTCTCCATTAATTTTTCATATATGTTTATATACATTTAAACTTTCTAACCAAATTTGAATCAGTAAAGCTTTATCTTTTGTTCAAAATGATATATTTTAAATGATATATTTAAATTATACATTTTGCCATTGTTTTAAAGTTTTTATTGAACTATAGTATTCATAAGAAAAAGTGTACAAATGTTAGGTGTACAACTTGACAACATTTTTTTAAGGGAACATACCTATATAACTAGCACCCTGAGCAAGCATCTCAGAAGTCCTTTTGCCCCTTCCTGAGAATTACCTTTCTCAAAGTTGAATCATACCCTGGCTGGTGAGGCTTAGTGGATTAAGCACAGGCCCGTGAGCCAAAGTATCGCCAGTTTGATTCCCAGTCAGGGCACATGCCTGGGTTGCAGGCCATATGCCCAGTATGGGGTGTGCTAGAGGCAACCATACATTGATGTTTCACTCCCTCTTTCTCTTTCCCTTCCCCATCTCCCTAAAAATAAATAAATAAAATCTTAAAAAAATTTAAATCACTACCTTGACTGTTAACACTGCAGTTTAAAAAACTTTAATCTTTAAATTATATGTAATATACGATTAGGAAATAGGCTTTGGGTATGACAGAGGTTCAAATCCTGGCCATTAGGCATATGACAGTCTTTAAGAACTTCAGTTACTTCACATAAGAAATAAGGCCAATAACATCTTTCTCATGAAGGCTCTTATATAAAAAGCAGTGATGTTTGGAAAACACTTAGCACGTACTGACACATAGTCAGCACTCAGTAAGTGCCGGCATCAAACCTCACACTGTCACATTGTGCTCAACAGACAATGGTCGTTTTGGTGTTGTCATCATTCCCTTTGCACCTACTTTAAATCAGTACTTAATGTGATATTTCCTGGTTTCTCCTCCTGTTCTCCCTTTAATCCACCTGTCTGCTTGCTTTCTGTTTTGACATTTCCCTGCACAGTATAACAACAGATGCTATATTATTGTCTGAACTCAACTAATTATCCTACAGAAGAATAAACAACAGTAGCTCATTATTCCATTCACTGTGCAGACAATGTCTACTCCTCAATGCAGCCAGTTGCCAGGGCTTTTCCCCAGGATGAAACAGACCTCAGACATCCCCCACCACTGGTTCGATGTGGGAAACAATGAAGAGGCGTTAGGTAGTAAGTCGGCAATCTTGGGATCTAAATACACAAGTTTTACTGGCAAAAAAAGAACAAAACTATATCAGTAGCTCAGTTTGAAACATACTGGCTGAAAGCAAAGGCCTCGTATAAGTAAACACTGTTGAAAAACAATGATATATGAAGGACATCTATACTGGAATAGAAGCCTTAGTAAACACCACTGTTAAACTTCAGTTTGGTTTGCTCAACAAATATAGTTTTTAATCTGCATTGCAGTTTTGCAACAAAACAAGAAAACCTGGTATAAATTGGATATATGAACTGATCTTGGAGTCTCTGTTTTACTAAAACTTGAATATTTAGAGTATTTAAATCAAAGGAATAAGAAATGGGGACTTAAAAAATTAGTGAAATACAGACACAGAAAAGACTGTTTCTACACAATTACCTTTTTTAAACAGGAAAGATACACTTACACAAATCTTTTATAATAAGAATGAAAGACCACCTTAATTTGCACACATGTGCATACATGAATACATGCACACAGGATCTTCTATGCTTCTATGAGTAACCATCAAATAGCAGTTTATAGATGGTTGAAGCAGAGTGTGAAATAGGCTAAAGCTAATATTCATTAATTCCACAAATTCTCACTGAGCTCCTCCTATGTGTGAGGCATTGTTCTAGATAATGGGAAAA